CTCCCCAGTTAGCCAGGACTGATAAATGATGGAAGTGTCCTGGTGAGCACTTCTGCCAGTTCCCTCAGTACCCTTGGGTGAATCCCATCCAGCCCCACAGACTTGAAGGTTTAAGTGGTGTAGCAGGTCACTAACTGTTTCCCTTGGATTATGGGGACTTCATTCTGCTCCCCGTCCCTGTCTTCCAGCTCAGTGGGTTGGGTACCCGGAGAACAACTGGTCTTACTATTAAAGACCAAGGCAAAGAAGGCATTAAGTACCTCAGCCTTTTCCTCATCCCCTTGTCACTACACTTCCCCCTTCAACCAGTAAAGGGTGGAGATTCTCCTTAGCCCTCCTTTTGTTACTAATGTATTTATAGAACCGTTTTTTATTGTCTATTATGGCAGTAGCCACGCAAAGTTCTAGCTGGGCTTTGGCCATTCTAATTTTCTCCCTGCATAACCTCACAACATCCTTGAAGTCCTCCTGAGTTGCCTGTCTCTTCTTCCAAAGATCATAAATTCTCTTTTTTTTTTTTTTTTTCCCCCCTGAGTTGCAGCCAAAGTTCTCTGTTCAGCCAGGCTGGTCGTCTTCCCCACCAGCTCATCTTTTGGCACATGGGGATGGCCTGCTCCTGCTCCTTTAAGATTTCCTTCTTAAAGAATGTCCAACCTTCCTGTACTCCTTTGCCCTTCAGGACTGCCTCCCAAGGGACTTGGTCAGCCAGTCTCCTAAACAGTCAAAGTCTGCCCTCTGGAAGTCCAAGGTAGCAGTTTTGCTGACCTCCCTGCTTAATTCTCCAATAATCGAAACCTCTATTATTCCATGATCATTATGCCCAAGATGGCCTCCAACTGTCACATCACTCACAAGTCTGTCTCTGTTCACAAACAACAGGTCCAGTGGGGCATCTTCCCTAGTTGGCAGCTGTGTCAGGAAGTTATCTTCCACATACTCCAGGAACCTCCTAGACTGCTTCCCCTCTGCTGTACTGTATTTCCAGTAGACATCTGGTAAAGTTCAAGTCCCCCATGAGAACAAGAGCTGGTGATTGTGAGACTTCTCCCAGCTGCTTATAGACTATTTAGTCTGCCTCTTCATCCTGGTTGGGTGGTCTGTAACAGTCTCACACCATGATATCTGCCTTGTTGGCTTTCCCCCTGATTCTTACCCATAAACACTCAACTCTATCATCACCATCCTTAAGCTCTAGACAGTCAAAACACTCCCTAACATACCAGGTTACTCAACGAACTCTCCCTCCTTGCCTATCCCTTCTGAAGAGTTAATAGCAATCCATTGCAGCACTCCAGTAGTGCAAGTCATCCCACCACGTTTCTGTGATTACAACTATGTCATAGTTCTGCTACACAACAGCTTCCAGCGCCTCCTGTTTGTCACCCATGCTGTGTGCATTGGTGTAGATGCACTGCAGTTGGGCTATTGATCCCAGCACCTTTTTTGGAGGAGAAGCTCCAGTTCCTACATTACCATTCTCAGGCACTTCCGTGGTTTCAAACACATCAATAACCCTTGTGTCTTTGCTGCCGCAAGGATCTCCATCCCCTCTCTCCACTGAGATGGCAGGCCAAAGGACCTAGCTAGCACACCGTTCCTCAAACACTGGTGTGCTGCTCCCAAGCTTCTCTCTAGTGAGTCTGGGTTTAGCCCTTTCCTTTTCCAAATCTAGTTTAAAGCTCTTTCAATGAGCCCTGCTAACTCTTGTGCAAAGATCCTCTTCCCGCTTCGAGACCCCATCTGTTGCCAGCTGGCCTGGCGTCATGTAAATTGACCCAAGATGAGCAAACAGAACAAAACATCAATTAGCAAACAGAAAAAGTGTTTTACAGTCACTTACCTTATAATGTAACCAACAAGATGATCAGTGTGTGGAAGTACAAAGAGGGATTTTCCAGAAAGGTCACAAGCATTACATAAAGCCGCTGCCCTCTCTGATGCAATAACATCTTCTCCTAGTGAAGTCAAGGAAAGCACAAGTAAGCAGTATGCAGTGCTTCAATGTCATACTAGCTCTAACAGCTTGACCAGTACAAGGTAATGAAAAATCTAATACATATAAAACTAAGACTACATTCATTCTTACTTCATTCATAGTACTACATGCTTCATCCAGCTGAACACATTGCAGAAACTTTCTAGGGGTGGCTTAGCTAGCAACAACCTACAAGTATGACATAAGTTCTTCATCTTTTCCACAGAATGAACTGTCCTGTGTCTTAAGAAACACAAAATCACCCAGAAAAAAACAAACTTATATAGCAGGTAGGAAAAAAAATAATACCGATAAGTAGTTTGCTGGTCACTAAAATGTATGTAGTTACAGCTGAAGCAGCAGCTCTACAGAAACATGAGGTTACAACAGATCATGTCACAGCTCCACTTGACTCCAACATTTTTTTCTGATTAAAACCGAGCTAAACTAAAAGGCTTCTCTAGGTACCAAATACCCCTCCTGTATGTTCTCATTACTTTTACAGCTTTTCTTGATGTTAAGTAAGGCTTAAAATGCAACCTCTTTACAAGAAGGCACGTCACATATTACACTAGCAAACCCTTTTTGATACTGTGTATCAAAGGATGGACTTGGGCTTAAGAGGAAGGATAAAAGTATCAAATAGTTAGTGTCAACTGCCCTGAACACTCTTTCCACCTGTGCACCTTCCCGAAGCCACAATGCTCTTAATATATGTAGATGACATTTGATTAAGAACTGCATATAATGTGACAAATGATAGTCAGCTCAGTCTGTCAGGCCTCAAGAAAAATGAGATCATCACAACTGTGCATAGTTTTCTAGTACCTGGAGGTAACGGTGTTTTTTTCTGAATCAAAACCACAGCGACTTTCGTATTTCTTCCCTGCAAACTTTGCCTAAAATAAAAACAACACATCACAGCGTCAAGGTTTCACTTCTTATTTCTGAATAATCATAACAAAATGATATTTCAGTCTAGGTGGATGCATTGAAAGAATGTTATATAGGAAGAAGAAACAAGCACAGCAATTTGCTGCATCATCCATAGAATGCTGTCTTCCCTTTTTTGTTCTGATAGGACAGAATGACTGTGCTGAGTTCAGCAAGCAAAACTTCAGCAGCTGTTTTTACTTAAGTAACTTTTACAAATAAACAATTAAAAGAAGTTTCTTTACTGTCAGTTGTACGTTAAAAAGCAAAGTTCAAGTTCCTCTTAATTTGCATGTAAGAAAAAAAATGTATATGTTTTAGAATGCAAAAAGGTTTCTGCAATTCACACTTACCATTAGCTTGTAGTACATTACAAACCAAGTGAAAAAACTCTACCTGACAATTTCAACTCGAGTAGCACATTCCGACTGTTTTTCTTTCCATTGTGGCTCATCCCAGTCTAGTTCATAGAAGACCACCACAAGTGCTGGAACCAAATTCAGGTGTTTGTTCATCCAACCAGTCTTCAGGATTCCTTTTGGAATATACCATTCATAGGATGTCCTCTGAAAATATTGAGGTTATTAAAGCAAGCTACCAAACCCATTTAGAGGCTCCTATAGCAGGAGAAAGGGAATTGTGCCTACATTCTCATCACTTGAGAATGTTTGTCACCTTTCCTTTAACATTCTTCCCCTCGAGCCTTTGCTTCCTATCGAATAAGAGATAAGACATACCCCTTGTCACCTGGCATCAGGGCCTGATGTCTGAGATACCAGCAACAAACAACAGATTCCAACTGTTTCTCCAAAGACCAACTGGAGAAAAGGGTCAAGTTCAGCATCACGTTTCACACACTCTCATAAAATATTAGGCTCAATTTAAAAGTGGGCTCTCAACCAGCTTGGATTCTTGTTCTTTGCCAGCAACACAGAATTATGCCATTTTCCAAGGGTTAAACTCATTGACATTGCTTCTTAACTGTCATTCCAAAGCAGAAAGAGGAAGAGATATTCTTTCTGTTGCATTTCACTTAAAGGCTTTATGCTTTTCTCAGAATACACTGATTTCAACTATCTAATTTCTCCAGATTTAAACTTCGGTTTTCATTAGAGCTCAAATTTTACAAGGGTACCTCATCGCTGAGTAAATGACCCGCGAGCACTTTACAAAGTAAATCACACCAGCTCTCTCTGCTTCTGGCTTACGAGCTCAGGCACCCCGCCCGCCTACGCGCCCCCAGCACTCCCCCGCCTCCCCCTCAGCGCTGCCCGTTTCCCTCTGCCTCCCCGCTCCCCCTCCAGCGGCGGGGAAGGGGCGGGAGGCCGGCGGGCCGTTAGGCCGTGCGAGAGGTGCCAGCCGGGCAGCCCAGCCCAGCCCAGCCCCCCAGGGACCCGCCGGCTCCCGCTCCCCGGGCCCGCCGCCGGCCCTTGCGGCGCGGGGCCGGGCAGCAGCCGGCTGGCACGCCGCTCGCTACCTTCGTCCTGCACTTGGGGTACTCGTGGTCGCCGGGGAGGACTTTGAAGGAGATGGGGACGCGGTCGGCTCTGCGGTTGGCGCAGAAGGCGTCCCACACGGCCCGGTGCACGGCGTTGTACACCACGTCCAAGCCGGTGAGGGTGACAAACGCCATGGGCCGGCAGCACAGCTCCACCGGGAAGTCCCAGTGCGTCGGGGTCATCCTGCGCCCGGGCGGGCGGCCTGCGCGGCGGCGGGGGCGGCGGCTCGCGGCGGCCCAGACCGGCCGCTCCTCCCCGGCGGCGGGAGCTCCGCGCTGACGCGGCGCCGGGCTCGTCTCTCCGCCGGAGCTGGGCGCCGGGCAGTGGCCGCGGGCGGTGTCAGGGGCAGCGGGAAGGAGGGCCGCCGCCTCAGGAAGCCAGCGCCGGGCGTCGGAAGGGCAGCAGAAACGGCCAATCGGGGCGCCCCCGCCCCACCGCCGGGCCAGTCGGGGAACGCCCGCGCGGCGACGTCACCGGAGAAGCAGCCAATTAGCTAAGAGAAGGAAGAGAGGCGAGGCTACCGGAGCCGGCCAATGGGATGACAGAGAGGAGGTGACGACGAGAAGAAGGGGCCAATCGCAGCGAGCGACCGGGTGAGCCGTGCTGCCCTCGGGGGAGGTGCGTCCATCCATCCATCATCTGTCCGTCGGTCGGTCGGTCGGTCAGTCAGTCAGTCCGTCTGTCGGTCAGTCGGGCGGGCCCGCTCGGGCCTCCCCGTGCCGCACCGGCGGGGCCGCGCCGCGTCCGCCCAGCCCCAGCGGTGGCGGTGAGGGGGGGCGGGGGCCTCCGCGCGCCGCCTCCCCCCGCAGCGCGCGCCATGGCGGCCAACGAGGACCAGGAGGTGAGCCCCGGGCCCTGCGCCGCGCTGGGAGGCAGGGAGGGAGGGAGGGAGGGAGGGAGAACCGGGGCCGGGACGGAGCTTTCGTGTGGGGAGAGGGGCCTGGGAGGGGAAGGCGGGCAGCGGGAGGGAAGAGCCGCCGGCTGGAGCGGGAGGGGTGCGGGCTGTGGCGGGAAAGCGCCGTTGGGTGCGAGCTTCGTGCCCGGGCTAAAAATCGGTAACCCCTCTCCTCTGCCCCCTGCTGCAGATGGAGCTGGAAGCGCTGCGCTCGATCTACGAGGGAGATGTGTGCTTCAGGGAGCTCAGCCCGGTGTCCTTCCAGTACAGGGTAAGGCACGGAGAAGGTCTGCCAGTCGCTGCGGCTCGGGCTGCGCCTTGTGTTCTGCCTTGTAGCTGGTGTGCCGGGTTTTCTTCTAAAACAAATGGGCATTCGTTGCGTAGTAAAGGCTAGATCCGTAGGCTGTTGTTTCAGAATCTTTGGGACGGTGATGCTCGATAGCACAAAGCTTCCTGTTCAGGAACCCGCTCCCAGAGTGGGTTTATCATCCCTTAGCTAGGCCTCCTCCTTAGCCCTCTCAGTACTGCGTAGCTGGAACTGTCAAGCTGGCTGAAGGAGCCAGCCTGCTGGGTACAGAGACATTTATATGTAAAGCTTTGAACCTTCCTTATTGCCCGGTTACAAGGTTTTTAGTCTCTTGTTCAGAGGTAGTTGACATGCCTTCTCTACCTGATAAAGAGAAAATCCACAAAGTGCTTTGGGCATGTGCACTGAAGCCGTCTGGTCAGGAGACACACAAGGAGTGCTGAGCCTGAGTTTTGCGATTAGATTATGGCATTAGATTCTTACCAACTTTCTTAAATTTAAAGATGAAGAAGTCCTTCTGAGCATGGACTGAGGCAGATCTTTGGGCAGCCAGAGAACTTCACTGATGAAAACTTAGGCACCCATGGGACAGAAGGGAGATGTCTGAAAATGCCATATGCCTGTAGTGGGGAGAAGGCGTCTAAAATCACCCATCTGGGGCTTCTCAAATAGCTTCAGAATAGCTTCGATAATTGTAATGAGATAGAGGTCAATTTAATTAATAGTTCTTGAATCCCATCCATGTAAGTGCAGCCTTCCCTTACTGATAGGACCATTCCTAGTAAACTTAATTTCCTTAAAAAAAGTACATGTGACATGCCTAAAAGTCTACACTGTATCGCTCTGCATTTTACTAGCTTTGGTCATTGCTAATTTTTATTAGATGAAAAATAATTGTCAAAAGTTAGGAGAACTCAATTTAAAAACTTGGTGTCAGACAAAGGCAATAATACATCTTCCCCATGAAGAAGAATTTGTATTATGAGAAGGCATAATGCAAGTAAGCACATGAGAAGGTAGAAAGAATTTGTATGCCATTTTTCTGAGCCACATGTCTCACATAAAGAACACAGCTGTTTTGTAATCAATGTGCTATGTAACTGAGATTAAAGAAAGATTTTTCAAATATTGAGAGAATGTAGCACCATCATTTAAAATAAGGCTACACAATTTTCAGGTTAAGCTGACAAGGAGGAGCACGGTCCTGTAGCTTTCTGCATGGATTTGCTCAGTGCACAGACGGTGCTTTGCCGAGAGAACTCTGTGAACCTCACCACTGCTTCTGGATAGCAGTGGGAAGTGGACTGCAACACTGTATATGATGTCTTGAAAAATGTTGCAGATTCTTGATTTAAAGTCGTGTTTACTTCGCCTCTAAAACAGATGCTTCTGAATGTCAATTAGTCCACTCTGATGAACCAGACACTGTAATTAAAAAAGCACCAACTTCTTTATTTTGAAATATGGTAGCCTTACCTTGGTTAGGACTTGTGGCTACACTTCATTCCATATAATTTGATGAAGCCAGACTTTGACTATTCTGTAATGAGGGAAATAAGGGAGAATTTTGAGGTGGTTTTAGAATACAGATTTAAGCAATTTTGTTGTGCTAGTCTTCCAAATTCTTTTGTGAAATGGTTATTTCTGTTTGTATATTATGTCTTTGGTTTCACCTGTACTAGTTTTAAATTTTAAAAAGACTATTTGTTTTTAATTTAATTTAACATGATTGTATGGATTGTATATGTGATTTGGTTTCACTAAATTGGTTTGATGTGCATGATTATTTATATCAAAGTGTGCCTTTTTTGAATGCTATGATTTTTTTTTTTTTTTAATCCAGTTGCATTCTACTGACCTCCTAAGTCTTTTAATACTCACTCTTTCTTGTAGTGAAATAAAACATCTGTGGGGCTGAGGAATAAATATTGAAATTTCCATCTATTATTTTTACTATATTAGGTCACTAGTTTATTGTCATGCTTATTTCAGCACTGTCTTGTGGTTTGTTTTCATGTTGCTCTGAGCTTGGATCTGGGGGCAGGGGGAAAAAGAAGTCTTCATCTTTTCTGTTCTCATATATGATTGTATAATATCTGGCTTGCAGATGCTACAAAATAGCTTTTAAAACCAAGCAGTTAAAAAAAAAAAAAAAGGCAACAAAACAACATAAAGAGAGATTTGAATGTTCCTGCTGCTTTTCCTAGGATGAAAACTGCAGGGTAGAGGTTGATAGTGATGTCAGAAATTTTATACTTTTTCTAGAGAACAACTTTATTTCCTAACTGTTAACTTTGTGAAAATAGTTGTTATCTCAAGGACTTCGGATAGTCTTAAAGAAGTGAAAGACTTGGTTATTGTCATTGTAATGCTTAATAAGGAACACTGTTGATTTATAAAGTTTTTCCTTCACTGCAGATAGGTGAGAGTGGAGATCCGAAAGCCTTTCTAATAGAAGTTTCTTGGCCAGAAACATATCCACAAACAGCACCCATCATATCGATGGATGCTTTCTTCAACAACACAATGTAAGTATTTATGACATCTTCACTCCCTAGTCTTGTATGTGGGGGCTTTTTGGTTGACAAGCTTTTCTTCATCTGTCTAGATTATAGTTGCATTTTATGATTTCTTTCAGATCTTCAGCTATTAAGCAAAATATATTGGATAAGTTAATGGTAGAAGTTGAAGCAAATCTTGGAACTGCTATGACATACACACTTTTTGAATATGCCAAAGATAATAAAGAGGTGTTCATGGAAAATCAGCCTGTTAGCACTGTTGTAAGTAGGTCATTCAGATTTTAATCTCTGGCTTTTAAAATTGCACAAAAAATGGTCATTACAACTTCAAATACTTCATAGCTCTGCCTTTAAGTTGTTCGTCAGTATATTGGATATATATGTTAGTGGCTAAACAGTGACACACAGTGTATGGCACCACAGTGCTCTGTGGTCATAATTGTTATATTTAACTGTTATTTTGCTGCTATACCAAAATGTTTATGGGCTGCAGTTCTGTCCCACAGAATAACGTAAAAATGGAGACTTGGAGCATAAGCAAAACTAAAGAGAGCTGAAATGGAGATTAAAGGCACCTGCTGGAGGTGGAGGGAGGGTGGCAAGTTACTGCAACCTTCCTGGGATGCAATGGATTACATAAGCGCACCTCCAGGGTCTTGAATGAGTCAGGCTAGGCCTATTTGTGGCTTCTGTGTTGTATAAGCACATTATTGGCTGTTGCGGTGCTGCAGATTTGCTTTGAGGAAGAAGGAGTGCTTTCCATGCTTGGGAAGTCTGAATCTCTTCAGACTAAATCACGCTCCATGATTAAATTTAGAAAGTGTAAGAGGTGCCCTTTGAAATTCTGAAAAGGAATAATTCCAGTCCCCAACACACATTTTGAAAAACAACAATCATGATTATATGTTGATTAAAAGCTGCAGACTGCTGACAGCATTGCTTCTTTCTGACAGTCATATTTCAGTATGTCAGGATATTTCAGTATGACAGGATATTTCAGTATGTCAGGTTCAGTGATCATGCACAGAGGTATCTGTGGAACTGATATGCAAAATACTAACAACCATTTTTGTACTTCTCAGACTTCAGTAAGCAATAGTATTGCAATTGGAACTCCTGATGTGCCAGCAAGTAAGAAAAAAGATAAAAAGGAGCAGTTATCCAAAACCCAGAAACGAAAATTAGCTGATAAAACAGGTTTGTTCACTATAGTATTGTTTTTGCTTGAGCAGCATGAGGATCCAAATTTTATAGCAGTGACATCTTGCTAGAGGCAGAATCAGTAGTCATTTGTTTATAGGATTAACTACTTTTAAGTGTGTGGTCTCTGTTTTGATTGTTTTAGATGGATTATTCTTGCCTGGCATGTTAGTTCTGGTCAAAGCAACTTTCTACAGAGTAGGAATTTCAAGATGTCATTGGTTTTGTTTTATTTTTTTATTTCAATTTGTGACAAAACTGAAATTTTCAAAAAATACTTGTGGGAGGAGAGCGTTTGGGATGTCTAAAAATTCACTCTCAACAAAAGACATGGTTTGTTGATGGGCCTTCATAAATAATTCACATTATTGAAAGCAAATTTCTAGATGAAAGTATTTGTTTTAAAGCCCAAAATAAAACGTCTAATTTAGTTTGTATCCCCAGAATAGAAGTGTTTCTGCAGATACTTTATGCTTTCAGTGAAATGGTAGGTTTTTGATTGAAAAGCATTTGGTATATCAGCTAATCCTGCTGATGACTTTTATGTGTTCAACCTTAATTTTTAATAATGATCTAGGTAATATGATCCTATTTCAGTAATAAATCGTACACTGTGATAGCAATTTCTGCATTTAATTTACCTAACCTAGTGTATAATTGGCAGATTAAATGTTGATCGTTTTCCTTTAGGAAAATCTGTGTAAAATTTTGTTCTTTGACAGAATGCATCATTGCTGGTCAGCCCAGCTCATGTTGGAATTGCCTGCCAAATTAAATGTCAGATGGACTGAGGTGTTTTTATTTAACCAGAATTATTTTGAAGAACAAGATGTTTTGAAGACATTAATATATGGTTTTATCCTCATGGTTTTGTAGTGGAGAAATTAACGTTTTTTGATCTTTAGAATCTTTTGTGTTGATTTTAAAGAAAGATAGGGATTCCCCTTAGCTTCTGTGTTAAAAATAAAACCTTCTTTTCTGCAGATAACAAAGGGGAGCTTCCACGAGGTTGGAACTGGGTGGACGTAATTAAGGTAACATGACTATTATATGCAGTATCATGAAAATACTGCGTAGGTACATTAACAATAATTTGTACTTATATATGAAGAAAATTAATCTGATATTTTTTTTCTTGCATTTCTTCCTAACTTTGTTTGGATTTGACTGTGATGTCTGATTAATTTCTACATGCATCCAGCATGTAAGTATTTTCAAGTTACCTTTTTTTAACATTAAAAAGATTTGCAAGAAATAGTAAGAACTGTTGCTCATTTTGAATTGTAATTTACATATTTCTCAAATGCTTTAAAATGCCTAGTCCATCTGAATATTAGAGAAGGACTTCGATTCCTCTTTGAACTTTGTTGGTTTAGTTCTTTTTTATTTATTGAGCAATTAAATTTTAATTTTATGATGAGAGAGCTTTGCTAGTCAAATGGACTGCAAATATTCTGTCTTTGCATGGCAACAAGATGTAAAATAAAATTAGTGTTGCTGCCAGGTTCTGGAGGGCAGGGAATAAGTAAGCAGAAAACAGGAGCTGTCCCATGTAGGAACACCCTGCTGTCTCCTACAAACCTGAACATTCTCTGCCACAACTCCTCCCATGAATAATTCTTTTCTACTTGCTCCCTCAGCATTGATTTCTTCCACCCTCTTGTCTTTGCTGATTCAGTGGAAATCAATGTAGCTGTTTGACAATTTTGAGTGTAAACTATTTTATTTTGCGCAACTATAAGTAATTCTCAGTGTAAGACTTAACACGGGTTCCAGTTGTTAAATAAGAGCAAGTAAACGATGATGGTCATTTTGGGCAGAGTTCTTCTGACTTAAAAGTGGCTACGTGTAGTGGATATCTTGGATTCCAGATAGATTTTGTCATAGATGCACTACATTTAATAATTATAAGCTTAGATTTAAAAAGTGAGAAATAATTAATGTCTCTTTTTGCATTGTGTAAATTTCTATCTGGGAATTATCTCAGAGATATGTGGAGATATTTTTTCCATTACTTCATCTTTTTTATTTTGGAGAGCTGGTGATGAAGTCTTCAAATTAAACAGAAACAGTACCCTGAGGCTTTCCTGGGGTTTTGTGTTTTGTTTTAGTTTTTTTGTTTTGTTTTTTTTTTTTAAATCAACTTTTATACTCAGGAAATAAGCTCATTTAGTGTTTAAGCTTAAGATATAATTTTTTATGCTTTTCAGTCTATGGGTACAGTAGCACAATCAGTCTGTACTATTAATTAAATATACATGTGTTCTGTGTAAGATGGAGATAATGTTGTTCTTGTTTTCTAATAAATGGAATGGCAGTCTAAACTTTGAATACTTTCTTTTTGTGTCTCTTTTATAGTTAAGCAAAACTGGTTCTAAAGATGATGAATAAAGGACTTTGGTACAAGGAAACTCCACCTTTTAATACAGTGCAATTTTGGGTCACCATCTTTCTCTTAATAACTTTAATATTTGTTGAATTAAACATTTTATAGAGCTCAGTTTCCTAACTTGCAAACCTAGTCACACAAGTTGATCTAGAGACTATGTGGTCTTCTTTGGAAAAAAAAAACAAAACAAAAACAAAAACTTGCCTTAAATGAAGGTTAGAATGTGACAAAGGATATAGAGAGACAATGTGGTGAAGTGAATTGTGCTATATGCAGTGTTTATTAATTTATAGTTTACTCTGTAGTAAAATCCTGTTATAGTGAAGCCAATGATACTGTAAAAATTTCCTGATGTTCTTATTCCAATTGAAGAAAAAAGCACTATAACAGTGATTGGTCACTTGACAGCATAATTCATCAAAATAAATTATTCCATGGAAACAAGACCTTTGTCATTTGTTTATCTAATACGAATGTGGAAGGAGAACATAAAAATTGTTACATTGCAATACAGACTAGAGCTTGTGGTCCCATTTTCACTAGTTACTGGCTGAAATAGTAAATACTAGTGAAAGCAAGGCCAAATATTCTAGTCTGCTCAAAGATGAGTGGTTACAGCAGGAGTATGTCTTCTTTATTCTCTGCAACACCCATCTGTTAGGCTTTCTCCAGTGTGCATCTTTACAGAAGGCTGGGTGTCTGTGGGGAGGGAAAAGTGCTTTCTTGCCCGTGTCTCAATGAGTGTTGGGATTTTGTAGCTCTTTCATTGGAGAAATGGGCATTCCGTGGAGGGGTTTGCTGACTGAGTGGTGGCACAGTGCCGAATGTGTTGGGAGAACTTTTTTTTTTTTCTGAATCTGCTCTCTTGTATCAGAAAGAGAAGTCATCTTTACTATATGAATAGTTACTGAATACAAGATGCCTTAATGTCCGTTATTATTTTTGTTTGTTTTGAGATGAACTTTAATAAATGCCTATTTATCTGCTGTGTTACGTGTTTATTTTTTTTTAGATTGCTTATTGCCTACTGCACTTCTAGGGCTGAGTGTGGACTTGCAAACATATAACTGAACTATAACAAAGCATTCTTAAAAATTGGTGGAAGAATTAGATCTTCCCTCTTTTGGTATATGTTTACATGTTCTTCAGCGTAGCTGTGTTTGTTATTAATTGAGTCACAGGAGAATATCCATTGCGTTCAGTACACACAGCAGGTCCAGAGCCTCTTTGAAAGAGTGGGCTCCACTGCAGGCGCCAGGTGCCGCGTCTGGCGAGAGGGATGTCAGGAGTGCAGGCTGGCTGCTCTGCTCAGTGGTGCTGAAGAGCCTCTGCAGCCAACTGAGGGCACTTTACGTGACTGTCATGTAAGGACTGTGGTTGATGGAGTGGTGGAAGTGTTTATGCTACTGTCTGTGTCAAGAGAGCTTATATGCAACATACATTAATATAATTCTCTTAAATTGTCTTTAATTATTCCTGTTTTACCAAAGGGTACACTAAATATATTGCAGAATTACTGCCTGTCTTCATATATGTGTATATGTAAAGAAAAAAAGGTTACATGAAGTGTTGTGACTGCAAGTGAAGGAAAAAAAGTTGAATTTGTTCTGTTGTTTTCACTCTTCTGAAAAGACTGTGATGAGATCTGAAAGAAATATGGTCTGTACTGCTGTCATCCAACAAGAAGCTGTAGTTTTTACTGAAACAGTCAAATTACAGTTGGTAAATGTATGTGCTTCCTCAGTAAGGAAAATACTATTAATTCTTAAAGAATTCTTAATTTCAGAAAGTCATGATTTCTGTTCAAACTGAACTCGCATTTAGTAAAAGCTGGTAAAGTAGAGAAGGGAGGGCTTTTTCCAAATGTTGTGGTCTTGCCTTTGACATAAACTGGAGGCTCGTGGCTGCAGTGTGAGCAAGAGTGTTTGGCCGGGAGTCAGGCCGCGGGGAGAGGTTGCTCTGGCAGTACACGGTGAGCCTGTCACAGGGGAGGGCATTTAGCTTTAGCCTCTGTCAGCATCAGAATGGGCAGGACTTTCTCTATTCACAGGTTCTCTAAGGGGCATTGACTTGTCTTTGCTGGTACCCTTGGTGTATAAATTAAGTAGTCATGACAATTTATCTGAATAGATTAGTTAGGGAGGGTGGGGGGAAGGAGAAATAAGAACCACATTCTTGCTTTTATAGTGTTACTCTGTGTAACAGCAAACTTGTTAATCTTGTGAAACACCTGATTTTTCAGCTCCTACCCTGCCTATAAATCACACAATCTTGTGAAGATAGCTGGTTCTGTTAGTAAGCGTGATTGTTTGGAAGGCTACTTTCAAGGGACATATTTTGCATTGGGAATTTTTGTATTGGTTCTTTGCTTTATACATTTTGAAAGGTAATTTGTGTCACGTGACATGATGGTTGGAACAGGGTCATTTCAAGAATCTAGGTACTTGATATTATGGAGAGGCCTTGAGCACTGACAACTTACACCACACCACCACCTCCTTTTTTAAAGTAAAAACCTACTGGCAGTGGGAAAATGGTGGTTTATACTTTATTTCAGTAGGGCAAGAGTTTCTTGATTGTAGGGCTACACCACCTGTTTAAATTAATGGGTTTTGCAGTAGAGCTTTGATTGGCCTGAGAAGACAAGTACCAATACTAGTAACAGTAAAGTGAAAGTAGCAAGTGTCCAAAATACAGGATGATTAAAAAGGAATTTGTTGGCTTACAAAATTTTCCATACTGCATGGATAATAATTGCCTTTCTGAAGAACTAGTTGAAAGGGCTTTTTAAAAAAATACTTTTTATCTATTGTGTTGTTGCAGTAACCACTTGGAAATCTCATCTGATCAATCATAGCTTACTTTTTTCCCTTTTTCCAATTTGTCTCTGAGAATCTTTCCTTGGGACAAATTTGGTGCAGAAAATTAAGGAGGCAATACCAATGCTTAAATGAAGTTTAGGTTTTTTAACTGAAATGTAACTGAAAATATTTGCTATTATTATTTGAATTGGTTAATATTCCTGATGCCTTTGACAGTTAATTAATTTTCAGCTATGCATTTTTTTTTTTCTTTCAAAACTTTTCTCAGCAGACTATCATTTTGTGGTTTGTTTGCTTGCTGTTAAGGAGGCAGGGACTCTCTCCTCCCCTCCCCCCCTTTTTTTTTTCCCTCTCTCAGTCCTTATGGTGCCCTGGAGCACATCACTAGGCAATTCGCTTTCTAGCCTCAATTTACAGTATCTATTGGTATAGAATGTATGCAGTTTTTGCTTTATAATGGTTTGGTATCTCTGAAACACAGTGACCTCTTCTCAAAAATCTGTCCAGCTCTTTCTGTTGTTGATACAGATACTTGAAGAATAACAAAAAATAAAAAGCTAACAAAAAAAAACAAAAATCAAACAAAAAACAAACAACCAACCAAACAAAAAAAAACCCAAACAACCAACCAAACAAAAAAAAACACACCACGAACTACGGCAGGGGCACAAGAACTGTCAGTATTACATTGCCATTTTATACTTTATTCTGGATGAAACTTCAAAGGAGTCTTTAGTTGTATTTGCACGATGTTAGATGCAGGTTCACTCAATTCTGTTGGTACCAAGTCCAAAGATGCTCCACTGCACTGTAATGTATCAAGTCGCAGGGAATAACGCAGGTTGTCTTTAAGTGTTTTGGGTGGAGGGGTGGCCGCTGTGCCTGACCAGCAGCGTGTACCTCGCAGATCCTGCTCACCCCCTGGGTCAGCCTGGCACAGCCCACGCTGAAATCAAGGCTGCTACTATCTGCAGTACTGCTGCAACTGGTTGTAGGTGGGGTGAATAGATAAAGCATGCCCAATCGATGAGCGATTAGATTTTGGTGAGAAAAGGAACAGTAGGAAAAAAGCCGGCATTTCTTCACATAGGACCTTTAGTAGAAGTGCAAATGAAGACAGACCATACTTCTTTTGACTGAGGCAACACAAGTGATTTGGGGTTATACTGTGAACTTTGTGCTGTGAAAATCACTGAACGGTTCTAAACCAGACATAGTTCCCCTTTGGAAAATGTTTCCTTCAACTATGTTTTGGTGTTTTATATTACAGCAGCCTAAGCGCTTGTAGTTAACAGCAGAATGAAGGGGGGAGGAAATGTTCATTCAACAGAGAAAATACCAGAAGCATGAGAATTCTGGATGCACTGGAGGAGGAAAATCATCCTCATATGCAAAACTAAAAGAGCATAGGGGATAAATCTTCATTGCTGCAGGACAATACAACAAAGCAAAAGCTGAGCTTATGGTTGCAGAGCTGTAAATTCTGGCATGAGGTGGGGTTATGGTAAAAGACAAGAGGATTGTAGATTTTCTTTCTGCCACTGCCACCTGTTCTTTCACCAACATGGATTTGGCTTCATCTCAGAATGGGGCTTCTCCGTGGTTGTTTGACTTATGTTTTCTGTTACTCTCTTTCTGAGCCCATGGAAGCAACCTCTGAAAGTCTGGTGTACTCTCAGAAATAAGCTAAGACAAACCATAGTGACTAGGTACTGGAAAATCATGTTAGAATATTTGTTGTGGGTGAAAGAAAGACTTAACTGTTTCTCTTCTCTCTCCTTCATTCAGAACAAAGTGAGGAGTGACTCTAAATGGCTGAATTACACAAGGCATATGAGAATCTATATCCAGACACCGGTGTCCTATGTCTGACTGAAAGTTTGTCCATCTAGTTTAATGTTTTATATAGCTATCCCTTGCTACTCTGTCTGAGGATTCATGATTGTGCTTCCTACAGTAGTATGTGTTTTAAGTATTCATGTTTACAGTAAGGCAGGAATTTGAAAATTCTTACTGTGTTTGCCAATTGCAAGTTGCTGATGGTGTGAGATGGGATAATGTCGCACCAGTGAGAGAGAAAGCCAAACTGTAACTGCACAGCCTTAGTGGAGAGAAATGGG